CCCGTATCCCCGCCTACTAACTGGCAAGTCCGTGCCAAGAGAAGAGCCTCCCAACTCAGGGCGGAAAAGAAATTGCAGCAACCCAACCTACTGCGCATGCGTCGAGCTGATGTCGCCAAACTGTACAGAAAGTTTGCAGACATAGTCCACCTTTTGCAAAAATTTACTAAATGCACCCACATTGATGAATAAAAAGCATGTATTACATTTTTGCATGGTAGCCTGCAGAGCATTGCAGCCATGATCCATAGATCCCCAGTGCAATGTTCAGGTTCATGCAGGCTAGGGTTGCCACCTTTTCTTCAAGCAAAACCCGAACACTCAATCAACGCGTGGAAATTTTTTTGGAAGAATGAGTGCTGGCTTATTCATATATAAAAATTGCCGCCCATTCATATGTAAATATCACAGTTGAGACTGTTTTCAGTGGGGGGCCAGTAGCCCCTATCTTCATTTTGGTTGCCTCTGTCTGCCTGACATCTTGTGTCCAGGTTTCTACTGCCATGAAACCCGGATACAGCATTCAAAACCCGGACTGTCCGGGTGAATCCTGGACAGGTGGCAACCCTAATGCAGGCTGTTCCTTCAGCTCCAGGTCCTTATGGAAGGTATGGACCTAACGTCATAGAGCTGGACTTGTGCTCCATCCAGAGCTATGAGTCACAGTAGTCTCTTCATTCACAGATCCTTGTGAATGAATGACCATATCTAGGAAGTTTTAGAAACTGTCATTCCTAAGATGGTGGGTTTGCCCAAAGTGTGTTTTTTTGGGGGTTTTTTTTTTAAATGTGAGGGGCATAAACAATAGGTCCTGAGTCTACAGAATGGGGGATAGGTGGGATTTCTTTGGACTGAATGGAAGATGCTGTGCACCCACTAACTTGTACCTAACTAATGGGTGGACCTGGAAAGGACTATCAAAAACGCTTCATATTTATTGCAGCATTAGGACACATGCACATTAGTATTCATTGGTCCTTTTGCATTTTATACATAGTATGCTTTTTCCCTATGGGAGACACAATGCTGGAAGCGCAGCAAAGGGATTAAATTAAAATTCACAGTTAAATAAAATCATAGCATTTAAAGCTGAACTCCAACCAAACAGTTTAAAGTGACACTAAACTCAGGAGTTAAATCTTAAAGTGATATTAGTTTTTAAGCTATTAAGGATGCTGATGGAATCACTTACAATGGATGCAGCTTCTTGATGTGTAAAATTTTTAGTTTCCTGCAGAATCAGCTGGTCCCCTGAGCACTGGTCCTGATATCCTGTTTAAGCGTGACTCCTTTTCCTTGCAGGGTCCTATGAAGGCATCCTTGTGTGCGCTAGTAAGCTGTGTGTCTCCACAAAGCCAGGCAAGCCATTCTTTTGCTCCCTGCTCCTCCTTCCTCTCATTTCCCTGTTCCAAGCTAGTAGATGCTGGAGATTGATCTGTCCCTTGTGATCTTCTATTCAAAAGGACGTTTAGGGAAGCTGAGCTGACAAAGTTGTTGTCAGATGTTTGCAAACATGATAACTGTAAGTGCTTGGGCAGAAATGTAAAGCAATACTTTGCTGGGCAATGTATACTTGTTTGATCTGTTCTTCGCTCCTGAAAGATTGAGAGTTTAATACTACTTTAAAAAATGCATTCAAGTAACCTATTAACAAAATGTATCTTATTTATGTATCACTCGGCTGTACCCCCTCAAATCATCTCTGAATTGGTACGGACACTGTGTGTTGTACAGTAGACACCACTCCAAGCTCATTCCCGTGATGGATTACAATCTCACGTTTAGTTTACTAATTTGCATTGAGATTGTAGTCCATCACAGGACTGAGCTGGGAGCGGTGACTACTTTACAAAACACTCCAGGACCATGGGGAACACAAGTAGCCACCCTCCAGAAGGAAGGACGGTGCCAGTATGAATTCAGAGATGATTTGAGGATCTACAGCCGAGTGATAATAAAAATGTATCTTATTTGTGTAATAGTTAAAAAGGTACTTGAATGCATTTTGAAGATTTAACTCGAGTTTAGTGTCACTTTAAGTACAACTACTAATAAAAAAAGTTACACATATGATACATTGTCACCAGCATTAACACAAACACTATAAATATATAAAAATACATATATTTTTTGACTTTGCTCATGTCAACTGTTTTACCAGCCAAATGATTTGTGCTTCTGTTCAGCCAGTCTTCCTAGACCTGCCTATAAACTACAAAGCATATTTGGCAATATAACAGGATTCAGTTCAGCCTGCAAATGGGGAAAAAAAAGACACACCACACTGATTTGGTCATCCTTCTGCTCTTCCCTAATGTAAGCATGTAATTCTGAATGCAGTATCAGAGCCTTGAATGACTCTGCCAGTTAAAACCATAAAAATGCATTCAAGTACCTGTAACTACCAACAAAAATATATCTTATTTGTGTAACACTCAGCTGTAGATCCTCAAATCATCTCTGAATTCATGCCAACACGGTCCCTCCTTCTGGAGGGTGGCTACTTTTTTGCCCCATGGTTCCCTGTGTGTGTGTTGTAAAGTAGTCACCACTCCAAGCTCATTCCTGTGATGGACTACAATCTCACGTTTAGTTTACTCATTTGCATTAAGATTGTAGTCCATTACAGGAGCGAGATTGGGGCGGTGTCTATTTTACAACACATACAGGGACCATAGTGAACAAAAGTAGCCCCCCTCCAGAAGGACAGTGTCAGCACCATTTCAGAGATTATTTAACGATCTACAGCCGAGTGATACACAAATAAGATATTTTTGTTAATAGGGTACTTGAATGTATTTAAGAGGAACTTTACCCATATCTTTAAAATAACACAAACACACCTTTAGAAATATTTAGTAATGACAATCTTCAAACACATACATATAGATAACTGCAGGCTTTGTATTCTTTGCATATCTTTTCTTTCCCAGTCTTCTTACAGTGGCCATGTTAACTAAGGGCAGGTTACTAGCATTCCTTTTACTTCCTGGCACTCTAGCACACGTGATTATAACCATGTGACCATGCGCATCATCCCAGGGGAGGAAAATGCCTTTCCCTGAGATCTCCAGAGATTACAGATGAGATTTCCCAGAAATGCTCTGCTGATGTAAACTTCAGGATGTAAGTTTTTGGCTCTTACATAATTTGTGCCAGAACTGGACCAGAAAGTAGAAAAACTATTTGTAATGAAAAACATGTTTAACTATTGAATGCAATATGATTTTAAATCAGCATGCAGAGCTGCATGCTGCTGTGATTTTTAGTGAAAGTGGGTAAAGATCCACTTTAAAGGGATTACCCCCGAGTTTAGTGTCACTTTAATCTAGTTATCTGTAAAAATAATGAAATGGTGATATATGATATAACTAGTGCTTTTCTAGGTCCCGTACGCAAATATCTTTGGGGTGCATTACATGCTGTGTGACAAATTCTTACTTCGCAACATTGTACGGTGTCCACCACTAGGGAGGGAAACTTTATACCTAGAAACTGCTCGTGGTACGTTGCAAAATGCTAACAGCCAACACACTCATGTTTCTGGATAACACACTCCTACATCCAGAGCCATAAGAAACTATCTGACATCGCCCTAATGCCAGCTAATCAGATCTAGCCCTTGTTGACCCATTATACACTTCAGATTTAAAGAGGTGCCATAAAGATCTACCATCACAATTTATTTGCTTTTGAGTTACAACTTAAAGCATTACTCTTTCTACTTCTAAGTCCCCGCAGGGTGGCTTCTAAACAAAAGGCAACCTGTATGGTGGCTGTATGTTTACTACCAAATCTACCGCTTCCCTGCTCCCTAGTTGCGGCGTGTATTCCAAACTTCCGGGTGTATAGAATACCTGCTTCACTATCATAATCATGTTCACGTTGGTGGTGGGGAGATTAAGGGGGGGACATGATTTTCATGTACAAAAATGTTCAATGGTGATAGCAACAAACTCTTTACGGTTAACTCCATAACAAAGACTAGAGGCCACCACCTAAAATTGATGGAGAAAAGATTTCAGCACACGGGGCGAAGGGGGTTCTTCACTGTCAGAGCGGCTAGGGTCTGGAACTCACTGCCACATGCAGTGATTTCAGCTAAGGGTATGGAATCATCCAATAAGTGCTTGGACGATTTCCTTAGAGACCATAATATACAGGGGTACAGGTACTCTTTAAGAACAAGATCACACAGGGACCCATGCACACACCAGCAGAACCATATACATACATGCAATAGGTTGGACCCGATGGACTTATGTCTTTATTCAACCTCAAATACTCTGTAACTATGTGGTTCCGGCTCATAAGTCACTACATGACATACAAACCATCAGGAGGAGCCACGGTGTGTGGTTGGGGTAACAAGATTTTAACCCAGCCAAACACCAGTAAGGTAGGACTATGAACCCTTGTTGAATAGGCTGTCAGATGGTATTTCAATTTTCTATGTTGCATGGGTACTAAGAGGGAGGGGTTGAAATCACTTGAATGGTTGGCTGCCGCCTCCAATGACAAATCATAATTCTACATTAAAGAAAGAAGCTGATGGAGTCATTTTAAAACCCTTTGACTGCCAGGACATGTAGAGCACATCCTTGACAGTCAAAGGGTTAAAGGGAATTTGTCACGGCAGAAATATAAGTCGTCATCTGGTGCATAAGGCACTGAATGTCATCAACAATTAACTTCAAGGCTAAACCATCTTACACTTTGCAACATTTATACTCTGTAACAAAGTCACAACACAGTCACATCAGGAAATTAATTGCTTTATTCAAAAAAAGAAACTAAAAACTGGAACAAAAATCTTGATTTCCCAAAAGGCTCTGATGTTTCAGGAGGACGTGCAATTGGGACAATACCTGCAGTGAAGGAAATTAAATATAAAGCAGCAACTTCAGTGTTCAGGAGGGGGAGGAACACAAATCCTTGTCTCAAACTAAACAAAAAGGGATGTCTGGGGAAAAGGATATGACAAATAGCTTCCTGTTCACAGTCTGAGACACAATAGTCTGATTGATAGGAAGAGTTCAAAGTGCTTTTCAATCAAGGCTGTGCAACATCACTACCAATGAAGACCCGATGGGGGCGTCTTTTCGTCTTTGTTACTCTCCAGAGAAAAAGGAGGAATCCTGACATCAAAGTGTGATCCATCAGGTCGTTCAAAGCGGAAGGTTCCCCTAAAGAAAATAGAGATGTGTTTGAATGAACCCAAAATGCACATTAATTTGTAAAGGAAACGTATGCGCATAGCAGGCTGCCCATGCAGAAATTGGTAGGTGCCTGGGCATCATTATGATCCCCTGGATTCAATACTATCTTAGTTAATGATCCAAAACACTTATGTTGTTAGTGAAGCCAGAACTCCTGGTCTGCATACTTGTTCTAGATGGCTCAAATAATGGATTCAATAGATCAGCATGAATTAGAGTCAACAATGGCAGCACACATATTTGTCCAAGCACAGGTTTCTTCTAGATACTGATAAAGGTCCCATTAACCCTGCCTAATATACAAGGTTACAGTATAGGTCAAGAGTTCACTAATCTGTATGGACAACACAACTGACATCCTCAGCCAGACCACCAAACAGATCCATGAGACTATGGTTTACTCTACATATGCCTTGTATAGGGA